GAGGCTGAGGCCGAGGCTGAAGGCAGACTGAGGCTGAGGCTGAAGCAGGCTGAGGCTGAGGCTGAGGCAGGCTGAGGCTGAGGCTGAGGCAGGCTGATGCTGAGGCAGGCTGAGGCTGAGGCTGAGGCTGATGCAGGCTGAGGCTGAGGCAGGCTGAGGCTGAGGCCGAGGCTGAAGGCAGACTGAGGCTGAGGCTGAAGCAGGCTGAGGCTGAGGCTGAGGCAGGCTGAGGCTGAGGCTGAGGCAGGCTGATGCTGAGGCAGGCTGAGGCTGAGGCTGAGGCTGATGCAGGCTGAGGCTGAGGCAGGCTGAGGCTGAGGCCGAGGCTGAAGGCAGACTGAGGCTGAGGCTGGCAGGCTGAGGCTGAGGCTGAGGCAGGCTGAAGGCAGGCTGAGGCTGAGGCTGAGGCTGAGGCTGAGGAGGCTGAGGCTGATGACTGAGGCTGAGGCTGAGCAGCTGAGGCTGGCAGAGCTGAGGCTGCAGGCTGAGGCTGAGGCAGGCTGAGGCTGAGGCTGAGGCTGAGGCAGGCTGAGGCTGAGGCTGAGGCAGGCTGAGGCTGCTGAGGCTGAGGCTGCAGGCTGAGGCTGCAAGGCTGAGGCTGAGGCTGAGGCTGAGGCTGAGGCTGAGGCTGAGGCTGAGGCTGAGGCTGAGGCTGAGGCTGAGGCAGGCTGAGGCTGAGGCAGGCTGAGGCTGAGGCTGATGCAGGCTGAGGCTGAGGCAGGCTGAGGCTGAGGCCGAGGCTGAAGGCAGACTGAGGCTGAGGCTGAAGCAGGCTGAGGCTGAGGCTGAGGCTGAGGCAGGCTGAGGCTGAGGCTGAGGCAGGCTGAGGCTGAGGCTGAGGCAGGCTGATGCTGAGGCAGGCTGAGGCTGAGGCTGAGGCTGATGCAGGCTGAGGCTGAGGCAGGCTGAGGCTGAGGCCGAGGCTGAAGGCAGACTGAGGCTGAGGCTGAAGCAGGCTGAGGCTGAGGCTGAGGCAGGCTGAGGCTGAGGCTGAGGCAGGCTGATGCTGAGGCAGGCTGAGGCTGAGGCTGAGGCTGATGCAGGCTGAGGCTGAGGCAGGCTGAGGCTGAGGCCGAGGCTGAAGGCAGACTGAGGCTGAGGCTGAAGCAGGCTGAGGCTGAGGCTGAGGCAGGCTGAGGCTGAGGCAGGCTGATGCTGAGGCAGGCTGAGGCTGAGGCTGTGACTGCGACTGCCGTTGCCACTGCGACTGTCATCGCGAATGCGACTACGACTGCGAGAACAGCAGAATTCTACAACTGGATTCTCATCTGAATCTTGAGGGGAATGCTTCCAGATATGCTCCTACACATCGCTGTTAGATTGGTTTGCCGGGATAATTCTCTATCCTTCGAGGAAGGAAAAAACTGCATGAGCAGAAACTCTCGGAGGTCCGCGCAGATTTCTTGGATCGGCGCTGGGCCCCGCGCTGGCGGCGCCTCTGGTGCCACCCAGGAGATCCGCGCAGGGAGGCTCCAGAACTGAGGCCTGGCATCCAGAGCGAAGTGCTGGCATTGCTCTTGGAGGCCCCTCGGAGGCTCCGTGGGACCTCAGGGGCCCCTGAAGCCGGCGGGAGTCCCAAAGGAGGAAGTGTTCGGTCCGCGCCCTCCCCCTCTGGGAGCTCCTGGGCCCCAGAGGATTCCAGACGTCCCTGAGTGGAAGCTCGACCTCCACTCTGGAGGCGTGCTTTCCTCCCTCCTGGAGGTTTTGTGTCTCCGGAGACGGAGGCTCGACCTCCAGACCGACGATCGAGGAGCTCGTCCTCGATCCTCGAGCTGGTGGGTGTCAAAAGACACCACAAGTATCGAGGATCGAGGATACCGTCCTCGACCTCAAGGATCGATCGCGGATCCTTGATCCTCCATCGAGGGTCGCGGATGTTCTCTTCGATCGTGGCCCCCAGAAGTGTCAAAGCAGCGAACGCGTCTCACTCCGGCTTTGTTTTGGCACCTTGCTGGGGTCTTTGGAGGCCCTCGGAGGCCTCCGTGGGCCTCTGCGGAGGTTTTTCTGGGCTGCCGAGGGCTTCTGTAGGAGGTCCCCCGGATACTTCCAGGGGAGGATCGGAGGTGGACAGAACCCCCAACAGTGACACGTCGATTCGTGAATCGTCCGTTTTCGGTTCTCGAGAGGGCGCCGTGGCCGTTATTTTCCAGGCTCGCGCCCGCCGGGTTTGGGCCTCGGGTCGTTCTCACTAAACCGCGTTCCACTAAAGGGGGGTCCGTCCTCCATCCCCGAGAGGAGCCCGCCGGTGAAGAGGAGGGGAGCCCCGAATCATCAGGGGTAACTCGGGTCAGGGCCAACTCGGGTTCGTTTTTCGGGAATCCGAACCCGAATCGGATAACTCGGGCGCCCAAAGAGGGTGTGCTGCAGGAGAGGGGCCCCCCTCGGGCTCAAAGACAGGTGGCCGCTGCGTGGGCGCCAGGCGTCGGCTCGAGGCGAGCCCCGCGCCGGCCCCCCAAAAAATGCGAAGGACGACGGCGAGGGCACGAGCACAGACTTACCCCCCTGGGGGACCCATCGATTTCGACACCCCTCTCGAGAGATCGTCGACGCGATGGGTTCCCCCAGGGGGGTAAGGACCACAGCTCCCCCAGTCATGGCTGGTCGGCTTGGTGGCTCTTGGAGCCCACGGGGCAGCTGTTTCTCCATGCTCGTTTTGCCGTTTTTGCTCCCTCTTGCGGCGTCGTTTATAACTTTGTCTGTTCTTCTGCCATGTGTTACTGGGTTCCGACTCCGGCCTCCGTCCTGGAGCAGATCTTTCTCTCGTTTCGGCGACCGCTTGTTTTACCGCTTTCATTCTCAAGATCAGGATGTTCGGAAACAGGAAACGAAGTCACGGCACTGCCGTTTCCAAAAACCACCAAGAGCACAGAGGGGGGGAACGACCACAGCTCAGCGCGCAGGAAAAGGGTCCTGAGGACCTCCGCCTCTTCGAGGCCCTTCCTGGGCACTCCGAGAGGCTGCCCGGGGTCCCCGGGAGCGCTCCGCGTGGTCCGAGGCCCACTCCCAGCAGGGCCCCCCTCGCCCTCCCCCATTGTCGCCCCTCCAGGGCCGCCGCGCGTAGTAGACGGACCCGGGTGTGGCCATTGCCAAGCAGGTGCTGACCCGCGCGCCCTGACCTGCCCCTCCAGTCTGCACATCGACGTGTTCACCCCCTGGTGAGAGGAAACGGCGATGGTCAGTGGAAGTGGAGCTACAGATCTCGATCTCTTGGCTGCTATCCTCTTGTCGAACCTCAGGGGAGGCTGCAGTACTGCTCAACGATGTGCTGTCAACCGAACCTGCAGGGTGGGCACTGTCCATTTTTCTGAGCACCTCAGCGTTGGCTCCGGCTTCAGCTGTGGGTGCGCCGTGAGGCGCCTTCGGGCCAGCACACCCGAGTCGGTTTTCCGCTCACATTGGTACCCCTCTGCTCCTCCGTCCTTGCCTCGAAGATGAAAAAACTGCATCGGAGGTTTTTGGGGTGACATCGCAGTGAAACGGAGAACCCCACCAGCAAATCGGTTTCGGTGTCGCGCGTGCGTGCGGGCGTGCGAGGCGAAGCTGCGTGGGCGGGCGAGCGGAATGTACTCGCCGTTGGTAGGGCGTGGCGGTGGCTTGGGTGTGTCCCGATGGTGTCCACGGGGTGCCCCGATGGTGTCCCGATGGTGTCCCGATGGTGCCCCGATGGTGTCCCGATGGTGCCCCGATGGTGTTCCGATGGTGTCCGATGGTGTCCAGATGACGTTTCGAGGGTGTTTCGATGGTGTTCCGATGGTGCCCAATGGTGCCCCGATGGTGCCCCGATGGTATCCAAATGGTGCCCCGATGGTGTCCCGATGGCCCCCTCCACACCTAATCATCAGAAGGGTGGTCGTACAGGTCAACATAAATGTTCGACGGTCCGCGTGGACCCACGTAGCGGCGCCTCTGGCGCCGCCCCTGACGTGCTCCTTACGCCTGGAAGGTAGGTCCAGCGCAGATCCAGTACATCCGCGCGGGCCGTCGAAGGTTTGTGCATACTGCCCGTCTCCGCTGGGGCCGCCGCCGAGTACCACGCGCTGGTGGAGCAGGACGTGACCGAGGACGCGCTGGGCGGCGTGCTGCGAGGCGCGCGCGCGGCGCCAACCCCTGGGTGGGGGACCAGGCTGCCTGGAGGCCTTGGCGGGCCGGTCGCCGAGCGGCGCCGATGATGATGATGATGATGATGATGATGATGATGATGATGATGATGATGATGATGATGATGATGATGATGATGATGATGATGATGATGATGATGATGATGATGATGATGATGATGATGATGATGAGATGAGGAGGAGGAGGAGGTAGGAGGAGGAGGAGGAGGAGGAGGAGGAGGAGGAGGAGGAGGAGGAGGAGGAGGAGGAGGAGGAGGAGGAGGAGGAGGAGGAGGAGGAGGAGGAGGAGGAGGAGGAGGAGGAGGAGGAGGAGGAGGAGGAGGAGGAGAGGAGGAGGAGGAGGAGGAGGGGAGGGAGGAGGAGGAGAGGAGGGAGGAGGAGAGGGAGGAGGAGGAGGAGGAGGAGGAAGAGGAGGAGGCGATGAAGTAGGAGGGCGAGATGGAGGTGGGGAGGGAGGGAGGGGAGGCAGGAGGGAGGGGAGGCCCGAGGAGGAGGAGAAGGCGCAGGAGGTGGAGGAGGGAGGGAGGGTGGGAGGATTACCAGGGTTACCGCCATCACAAAAGTGACATAAAACATGAAACATGCCCGGACTTTCATGAACTCTCAGCGCCTTTGCACCGAGACAGTTTCTCCAAAGGGGCTGGTGAGAGGCACGACAGCAACGTCCGCCCTACGGCGCCTGCGGGTTCCTCCGTGCCTGCGTGCGCACTCCTCCGGAGATTAGCGTCCACCCAAAGCGAACGCAGCCATAAGCGGGTCCTTTCCCTACGCTCACCAAAAAACGCGTTCGGCCTCAGGTAACGACGCGCCTAATGCAGGTCGCGCTGCCCGAAGCCACCTAGTGCGACTCCACACTCCCACGCACGCCAGGGCGGGGCACCCTGGCCGTGGGAAGGATGTGTGTGGGATCCTCCAACGAGCTCTCCGCAGGGGACCCGCCTCCCACCCTTACCCCAGCGGAGTACTGGGAGGCGAGGCGACGAGGGTACAATTTTCTCGCCCACAGGCCCCCTACGGGCAAACTGGTGTGACGAACGGGCTGCTACCCGCGGGAGGGGAGGCTCCGGGAGGAGGAGGAGGAGGAGGAGGAGGAGGAGGAGGAGGAGGAGGAGGAGGAGGAGGAGGAGGCCCGAGGAGGAGGAGGAGGAGGAGGAGGAGGAGGCCCGAGGAGGAGGAGGAGGAGAGAAGGAGGAGGAGGAGGACGAGGAGGACGAGGAGGAGGACGGAGGAGAGGACGAGGAGGGGAGGAGGAGGAGGAGAAGAGGAGGAGGAGGAGGAGGAGGAGGAGGAGGGGAGGAGGACGAGGACGAGGACGAGGAGGAGGAGGAGGAGGAGAGGGAGGGAGAAAAGGAAAGAGGGAGGGGGAGAGTTCCCACGAGGAGGAGGAGGAGGAGGAGGAAGAGGAGGAGGATGACGTTCTTTCTGCTCCACAACTGTGGGCACGTGTGCAATTTGCCCACGTGCACGCTGTGGAACACATGTTGCATACCGTCGCCTGCAGCAGCAGTTCTTGTTAACCACACTTTGCGCTCATTGCCTGTGCCTTGCATACGCCTCAGATCGGCCATCCTGGTTTCACTTCCTGGGGGGACGGGTGCACTTATGGAGGTGGAGGAGTGCCATGCACTGTCCTTGAGTTGCCCACCAGTCCACTGCGCTCACGCTGGGAGTCCCCATCCAGGGAGCGGCCCCACTTATACACGACCGCAGTAGCACAGGCTCGTTGTTTTACAAGTATCGCTACCCAGCACAATCACCTAGCCGGTATACGCGCAGGTTATATATATATATATATATGTATGTATATGTGTACGTATGTATGAATGTATATATCCGTAAGGGCTTCGCCCCATGCCGCTGGCCCCCTGTCTTGGATAATGGGAGATGCAACAACTAAATCATGAGGTCTGGGCGCCGCCGTGAAGCAGTGTCGGGACCTGTTTGTTTTTCGATCCTGACCCTACGGATTTGCGTGAGGGGTGCTACCGAATTTAAGACATGTGGCAAATCCCGTGTATTTTTTGGACCCTGACCCTACCCTGACTCCGGATCCGCCCTACTTTGGGGAAATTCGTAAGTAGGGCTTGGAATTTCCGCCTTACTTTTCGAGCCCCGCTGATGCCAGTTTCCGCCCTACTTTTCTGTTGCTGTTTCTGTGGATTTCCGCCCTATTTTATGTTGGGTGCAGCAGTTTCCGCCCTACTGTTTCGGCCTCTTATAGGTGGATTTCCGACGCAATTTTAAGTTGGAAAAAAAGCCGAAGTAGGGCGGATCCGGAGTCAGGGTACGGATCTGCGTGAGGGGTGCCGCCGAATTTCAGACATGTGGCAAATCCCATGTGTTTTTGGACCCTGACCCTGTCGATCCGCGTAAGGGGTGCCACCGAATTTCAGAAAATGTTGGGAATCCCCTTGGTTTTCGGACCCTGACCCCGCCGATCTGCGTGAGGGGTGCCACCGAATTTCAGAAATGTAGCAAATCCATTGTGTTTTGGACCCTGACCCCGCCGATCTGCGTGAGGGGTGCCAGCGAATGTCAGAAATGTGGCAAATCCTATATGTTTTTGGACCCTGACCCCGCCGATTTGCGTGAGGGGTGCCAGCACATTGCAGAAATGTGGCAAATCCCATTTGTTTTGGACCCCGACCCCGCCGATCTGCGTGAGGGGTGCCAGCAAATTTCACAAATGTGGCAAATCCTATGTGTTTTTGGACCCTCACCCCGCCGAATGTTGATGATGATGTACGGTGTGATTGGTGGGATGCTCTCACAAATCTCACCATCAAGTTAAGGGTCAAGCACCCTGGGATGACTGTCATACTCATCGACAACAAAGCCCGCGTGGGCAGCATACTGGACGCAGGAATTTGACCTTTCTCCTCGCAGGCGGAGAATTGCAACGGCCAGCGCCTCCGGACTTACCTCCAGACATTCGACATGGCTGCTGTCAACACGTTTTTCGATCACGCGTCGCAGACATGGCGGTTCACCTGAGGGTACTGGTCGCGCATCGACTACGTGTTGGTTCCCACTCACGCCCTTCCAGGCATCTCGTGGTGCCAGACATTGGATTCAGTAGCTCTTACTTTCTCCACCCAGGTCGACCACGTCGCCGTCGGAGCTCGAGTCAAGATTACGTCACCGCCGCGCGCGGCCCAGGCGTGCCCCCGTACATCCGCGACGCCCCCACTCGTCCTCAACAAAGCGTCGCTGCAGTGCGAGTCCCGGTGTGCATTTTTCCCGTAGGAGCTCTGGTCGGCAGTAGCACGCTCCTCATTTTGGGGTGGCCTGGACATCGACTCCCACCTGGATGCCGTCAACGTCGCCGTTCGCCGTGCTGCCGTGCGTGCATTTCGGGGGCCGAAAGACCAACCCAACAAGA